TTCTTTCCTTCCATCTCTCCCCGTCTGAAACTTCTCCTTCGACGCTCTCCATCGTCGCCAGCGGTAACAAACTGTGGCCAAGGTGAAGCTGGGCGGCAAGCCAAGGATTAAAAAGATCGAGAACTCTAGCAAAACAATTGGCTGATTTCGAAGAACGATCCATTTCAACTTCGGTGCGCATCTCGAATTTCCCACCATTTTCTCTATCTCCGTTCAGCTACAAGCGACAACCAAAACTGCTGGAGGTGAAGAAAGTCTTTCGCCGCCGCCGCCAGAAATATGACCCCCTGAAGAGGTTCTGACTTCCGAGGAGTTCTATAGCCTTTCGCCGCCGCCATCCTCATCATCGCCTGCGTCAAAACACCTTCGTCACCGTCGTCCTCAATTACCGGCGTTCTTTTCTTCTCGTCATTTTCAGAAAGGGAGAGAGAGAGAGAGAGAGAGAGAGAGAGAGAGAGAGAGAGAGCAGATCGGCGCTAGTTGGGGAAGAACAGGGGCCGATCGAGAAATGGAAGGATGAGAAGATCGAGAGAGACGAGCTCATCGACTTCATCTGTATTCTTACTCTTCTTTTTCGTTGGTATTCCAGAAAGAATAAGAGAGAATGAGGGAGATAAGGTTTGTGCGGCTAGGGTTTTTAAGGTTTTTTTTTTTTTTTTTTTTGTAATATGGGTTTTCTTCTTTTATATTTTACTAAATAAAAAAATTATTTTTTGTTTTTTTGTTAATCCACGTGTCTGACGAGAAATTGCCAGCTCATCATTTCCGTCCGTACAGTCAGATTGTTAAGTAACACCGTTAAAGAGATGGACGGAAGTGGCTATTTGTGGTTTTCGAATAATAATGGCTATATTTGTTAAAAGTGTGAAAGTTATGGCTATACAGATGTATTTTGCCTTTTTCTTTGGACTGTTTCACTATCGACAGAACCTTTAATCCCACATAGAGCCCATGAGTAGCTAAACAGGCTGGCTTTTCCAGGCCCAGGTCACGGCCCTGTAACTCTCGCCTATGAATGATTCACCAACAGGTCAATGCCGGCCCACCAACCAGAATACCCTCAGGCCTTTCTATCTAATGTATTTGGATTTTCTACAGTAACAAATGACAAATCACTACAGTGAGTAAAGGTCAGACAAAATAGTTATCTATTCTCTAAAGAAACAATCCGGCGATGCTCAAATTCGAACAGTAAGGTTGGGAGTCGTTAGGTCAGGCGTTCCATCCACTCTTCTTTGTTGGATAGACGCGATAACAATTTATAAATAAAATGTCACTGCATCTATCCGACGATGAAGCGTCCAACGGGCGACGGCTCCCACACAGGGGAGTGAGAACTATGAGTCTATGAAAGAGTCAGCGGGTTAAACTTAAAAGGCGCTAAACAACAGAATCTTTGACCTTTGCTTCTGCCTTGGGTTCATTGCTCTTCACGAGGAAGTTCTCCTCTGGCAGCCTCTGCCAGAGGTAGTTAGCCCCATCGATCCACCGTGGGAGGACCAGGAACTTGTCGTTCTCCAGCGCCCAGCGGGACTTCTTGGTACCGGGATCCATGGCAACAACGTGGGTCACGGTTGGATCGACTTCTGTGGCGCAAGTAGCTCCCAGGTTCACGGCCATCTTCCACAAGGGGTGGCTCTCGGCTGGAAACTTGGATGGGAAGACCCTGCTGAACACGATTCTGCAGCCCTTCAGCACGTCTTTACGAACAGTGTTCAGGACCTGTCTCACGTCCCTGCGACCAGTTTGGCCGGCCAATTCCTGCAAGGAGTCGAAGCCAGTTTCTATCTGAGTGCACGAACTACAGTAACATGTAGTAAAAGGAGGAACGATATAGGGAGGAACGTACGTTGAAGAAGAGATGGTGAACTCTCCTCAAGACGCTAAGAACAGCTGCAAGTGCTCCCTCAGGTTCACTCTCGTCGCTTTTCAGCTGAGAGAGGGAATGACATCCGAAACCGAATTGCTGACAGCTCGAGGCGAAGAAATGGTATCTTTCCATCAGTATCAAGTTGTCTCTATGGCTTGGCCATACCTATATCGCACAAAAACTCTTTGTCAGAATATGATTAAAGCGAACAGACTTCATTTGTTTCAGATAAACGTTCAAACTTGTGTTGACAACTTAAATAATAGTCTGAGGGCAGATGTACCCACATGTTCGGTATCATCGAGAATGAGGACTGCACTTTCATCTCCCAGCACCATATCGAGACTCTTCTGATGTCTCTGAGCGCCATCGTTGCGAGAAATCACCTTGGCGTGGAAGTATTCATTTCTCGGGTCAAGCAGTTTGGCCATTTCCAGTGCATAAGCCTTGTCTCCCATGGTGTATATATACATCTCGAACATTTGACTAGCTTCCTTCAGAAAAGTGTGCACATAGGGCCTAAGCTTGGTCATCATGTTCATGAAGCTTAACCGAAATAGGCTTCCATTTTGACAGTCTGTGCATTAGACAAAATAAAATTACACAAAATCAATAAAATGCAACAGAGCTGGCTAACTAAAGAAGATAGTGGAAATGGTTATATAATTCGAATCGATAATATATTAGAGCTGACCTTGTATGGAGTCTATCTGATTATTTAGATAGTCTTCTTCTGGGACCATATGCTTAAGATGAGTAGAATTTAGCAATGTATGATCCAAATCAAGTACCAAATAAAGCTTCCGACGGCACAACACACTCTTAGTATCAGTATCTCGCCATCGAGCCACTTCCGCATTCCCGAACAAGATTTCCTGCAAGGTCAGATTTTATCCAGAATCATCACATCAAATAGAAAAGGGTATACGGGCAGTCGGGCATATAAGGAAGTTGGACTCAAACTATATTTGTTCTCAATATGATTTGGAAAGAATATACATCAGCCATTTACAGAAATGCATACCTTGTGTATGTTTCCAAATGATACCCCAGCCACCTCAACCTGTGCTCCACAACGTACGCACAATTTACCAAAAGACCCTGGATGTGCACATTCATTCTTGCTGACAGATGCACTGGATGATGTCTCTGCAAAATACAGGATCAAAGAGCAGAAACTGAGTTGCTGGACATTCTACACCATTTAACAGTTGGCAGAAGCAAAACAGATGCGCGGAAAAGATAACAATTAGGAACTAAGATAACTAGCATGGACATGTTGCGAGAGCAGTCATTAGATAGACGATGGTGAACAACAAGAATCAAGCACATGTAACACATGACATTGATACAAGACTTGTTAGAAGCCGGGAACCTAATATGAAGCTAGAAGTTTTACACTAAAACTGTACCCAAGTTCTGCTTTACGATAACATGGGAAGCTGACCCCTCAAGACCATCTCCATTTTGCACTATCTCCGCCTCTGGTATCTTTGTCCTGCAGATCAATTGCTAAGTGATTTTCACTGGTATGATTCCAAAACAAAATCCCAATTACTCAGAGGGACTCAAGTCACCCAACAACATATACAGCAAGACATGATGGTTGATCCTATTTAGTTCAAACAGAACAGACAATACGAAATAAGTGAAAGGAAAAAGGCAGATAGAACAGCAAATGGAACAAGAATACCTAACGTACTTCAGAGTAGTACCTCTTGCTTACAGGTTGATCATCATCTTCGAATTCTTCCTCGCTCGAGGAGGAGGATGAAGAACTAGAAGCAACCTCCCTTTTAGCTCCTCCGTCGTCTTCATTCTCAGATCCGGCATCCAGATGACCGTCAAGGAATTCAGCAAAATCATCACTGCCAGATGAGCTCACTGGAGAATCGGCCACGAGACTCATCTGCACCACCAATTCAACACCATTCTCAAATTCAGAAGACACAAAATGGAAAGGAAATCCATGTCTTGCACATTCCAACTACGATGTTGTAACCTGAATCCACACACAGCACATTCCAAACAATGCCACCGAGTGAGTTTCACCAAATACTCCAAGTTCAAAACCGTCACTACAGGACATTTCCAAAACAAGGTCCTAGATCACTAGTCGACATATCAGAGCCGCACCGCCGCGTAATTAGATCAAAATCGCCGTAAACTAGTAGTTCTAGTTCGCCTATAGCTTGGAAACGGAGAGGAACCGACCTGTGCGGAAGTGGCGCACCCTGGGCTAGACTGAGATCGGAACCTCGGGACGTCGATTCACGTTTCAACCGCCGCCTGACGGATAAAAAAGGTAAGTTCGTTCTTTCTCTGCCTTCACGCCGGAGATAAGGAAAGTTCCAACAAGAACAGTAGTGTCAATCTATTGCACGCGGTCGCGCGTTTTTCTCTGAATGCTGATTCCGAATCGCGAAAGAGAAGACGGATAGGAAGCGCCGGCTGTCGGAATATTCCGTCTCCGTCGAGTGATAGAGTGGTTAATTGGCTGCGTTAGGGTTTGAATTGAATACGAGTGATTTGAGAGAAGCGCGAGAACGGACGACCGTCGCCGCGTCGGCGGGAGAAAGAGAAGAGGGAAAGAGAGAGCAGTTATTCGATCGATGGAGCAATTTTCTGTTATTAATTAGTTAATAATAAAATAATAGTCAGTAAATAAAAAGGAATCGGATGGGCTGATACGTGAGCTTGAAAGTGGTATTGGGCCGTCTACACGAGAGTGGTCCATGGGCCCTTATCGATGGGCTCGACCCAACACTTAAGCAAACAAAATGGATGGAGAAAAGGCATTGAAATTTAGTTTGATGATTTGGCAATTGCACCGGATCAAATTGATATTTGGATCGCAACATTCCAAACCAAATATAATGGTGTTCACTCCTTGTATCATGACTAATAAATAATGAAGAAAATAGACCAAATAAATATTTGATCGAATCAGACTGAACCAAATCAAACCAAATACAATGTTGATCTAATCTTTGATCCTAAAATTTCTTTCACTATTGAAATGAACTGCCCAATTCTCATAAGTTTGATTCGGTTTGGGCAGTTGCAAACCCCTAGTTACGATTGAATTTGCACCGGATCGATGCAGTATGGCCACTGAAACATCTCCAAATGTAACCTGATGAACACTATCAGAAAAATTCCCTTTCATTTCAAGTCCATTTCCCCACGTCTAGAATAAATTCAGAAAGCAAGCAGAAGGAAAGAAGGAAGACATTTTACTAGAACACTAGTTATATATACAGACTAGAACATATGTATATGTGTTTCTACAGGCAGAGAGGTTATTCAGAAAACAGAAATGACCTCAGGAGGCAAAATTGTAAGGGGCAGAAAGGAAGCCATTCCTTCCATACCCTCCTACCCCTAGAGTTTGAATGTCAAGGGTAAAAGAACCATGTACAAGTTGCCAACCCTTGCACTCCAAAAAGGATCAAGCTTTCCTAACACCCTGCATTTCCATTCTCGAGGGTCTTAATGGGGATCACCTTCTAGCAGAACAAAGCTGGAAAGTTTCGAGCCATCAACAGAACTGATAACATTTCATGTGGCGAAACCCAGGATTTTAGATCTGCTAACGAAGTGTATGCTCATCGGCAGGCTTCAGCTGACTTCCATAAGGTCCCCCCATCTATAGCCTGGTCGCTACTCGATATTGGATGGCTTTTGGGGTTTGGACTTTTGAGAATGGCAAAAGAGCTGATGGACTTTGAAGGTCTGGTCATTTGACACTCCTGGCCTGGACTGCAGTTTGCAGCAACGAGTTGGTCTGGGATGGATCTACTGCTACTTGATTCTTTTCGGACTCTGCTGCTTTCTTCATGTCAATTTCAAGCTGCTTGCAGTTCTCGTCATGAGCTTTGTTGAATAGTCTCACGAAGTTGACCAGAGTCGAACAAACTGCACTTATATGTGTTATTAGTCATTATAGTGGGAAGCAGATCAAGCCCAAAAGTTCTTACAGGTATATGAAGATTACAGATTTTAGAAAGTACCTTGTTCGAATGGGCAACGGGCTGGATCTTCTCCAAAGTAAAGAATCAATGCATCCACATTTCTTCCCTAATAACAAGATCCAAGGCATTCAGGTGGTCTTAGACTATTAACATAGAACAGTTCACTTGAAGGTGAAAATTGAGAGGATGACATACCACTCCAGAGTACAACGAAGCCAGTGACCTCACTTCAGCTTCAGCAAATCGGAGGAACTCTTTAAGCGTCTGAATAAGGAACGACTTGATTAGCCAAAGTGCATAGTAGAAGCCACTTCCAGTAGTACATCTTGTCGATGAACGTCTTTAGCCGAACAATGTTGCCTCTAAAATGACATGCAGGCCTTACATCTGGCTCAAAGAAATTAACAAAACTCTGGAGGCAATAATGTGTTTACCTTACAAAAATTCTCAGAAACAAAACCATCATTCTCCGAGGAAGATAGCTCTTGCATGACCTTTTCAAGTCCTTTGCTTATCGCTTGCATTTCTTCTGCTAAGAACTTCAATTGTACCTACATTTGGATACACACATTCAGCCACGAGATTGAGAATTCCCAAAATTTGCTTCCACAGTTATAAAGGCGAACCCATAGTACCTTGGACGCAGGTTCCAAACTGGGCAGGTCTTTGGAGAAGTCGAGAAGATCCGGTAACTTGTCAGCAAGAACCTGCCCCCATGGTAAGCACAGTGAATTTTAAGTTCTAGTGGAATCCTGACGCTGAGTAGCTTTTTATTGGCAGTACATTCCCATGCAGCACCTCATTTTTTACCTTGCAAAGATAGTGCATGAGAGTCATTTTGTTGTTCCTTGCCCGGGTATCGGTCAGTTTAAGTAGGCTGTCCAACCTAAATCCAATAGCAGCACCTAAGAGAAAAGGAAAAACGGAATAGAACTGCTTCAGCAAAAAAATGTTATTGTAGAATGATCAAAAAAATTCAACATGACCAAAGCAGGCTTACCCCTAGCAGTTCCTTGGTTCAAAGCATTACCCAATGAGAGAATAGTCTGCATGATTCTCTTTAATTTGGCAGAATTCCTGATCTGATGAGGGCAAAATTCCATGTTAGAGTAAATAAGAAATGTTGAGGTTGACCTGAAATAAAAGTGTTCATCATCAATAAGAGAGCAACGACAGTAACTTGCCTGTTCTGCGGCAGAGTTCACTGTATTTAGGCTATTCCTGAGGTCAGAGACCTAGAATTCAAAAGGGGAAATGGGTGAATATAAAACACCTGAAGTCGCGAAAAGATGACTGAGAGAACTCTGTTCATTTTCCTCACCTGAGAACGGAACTGCATCTTAAAAGCAAAAACTCTGAGCTTAGCTTCTACTCTTGGAACTTTCATTAACTCTAAGAAGAACTGCAGAAAGAATCCACAAAAGATATCCATGATGAGAATCTGGGTATACATAAATCAGCTCACAGAAAAATACAGCAAAATGTCCCCTTCTGAGATTTTAAACAGATGGACGAGAATAAGACAGACCTGTTCACACTTTCCCAACTTTTCCTTGTCTCCAGTGTAGCCCTGAAAAAATGAATAAATACATAGGATAATAAGTAAATACTGATGAGAATGCCTCTTGATGCTGCTAGTGGTTTAAGCATTTGAGGATGAATACATCCACATTCAATAATGATTCACCTTAAGGAGTTCCATTTCCTCTTTTGTTGGACAAAACTTGATCAGATTTTCTACTTGATCTACATCTAATGCGGAATCCTCCAGAGCTAAAACATAACCCTATCAGAACATAAAACGGGAGCGACGAGGAGGTTAGAGAATATCCTGATGCAACATACGAATAGCTAAAACTAGAAAGATTTTCTGCCAAAAGCAAATAATATTGCTTTTCCCAAACTATAAGCAGGCTGAATCCTTCCAGAGCATGAGGCAAATATATGCTACGTAAGCTATCAAAAATTGAAGGCATAAATGGAAATCAAAGGTGCATTTCAATAACATGTAATTACCGTCAATTCATTCAGTGGAACCTTAACCTTCGAAAGCATGATTTCACAGTTGTAGGCTCGTCTGTGGTCAATCTGTGGACAAAGAAAGAAACAGATATGTGAATCAACAAAACACAGCAACCCAGATAACCATTTCGTTCATTCTGTACCCACTTCATAAGCTACAGAGACCTTCAGCTGTCTGAGTGCATGAACAATAGAAATGGAAATGCTTATTAATAGTAGAAATAACAAGCTCAAGATCCTCAATATTGTTTCACTTGGTAATTACGATAAATGCATCATAGGAAATTAGCAGCATCCAGATGTCAACTCATCTGATGAAAAACAATTCCAAAGCCAATAAGAGACCAGATAGGTGAAATACCAGCTGCACTATCTCAGTCTTAGGCCCACGAGAGCTACGTGCCATCGATTTCCCCCCTCGATCTGGATTTGGTGCTGCTGCAGCAAAAAGACTCTCAAGTTCTGACATATCAATCTCTGGAGCTCTTTGAGAATAATGAACAAAGAAAAATTAGACTTGAGATATATCACAATAAACTTACAACAAAGCATTCCTCCAAGTGATATTCTACACTTTTAAGTATAACAAACTTACTTGGAGGCTTCTCCTGATTTTTGTGCCTCAGCCCACAAGCTTCCTTGCACAGCTCTTGTTAACTTCAACCAATGCAAAGGCTTCAACTTTTTCTGATTGTTCTTTATGGTGCGGGACAACCGTCCCTTTCCCCCCAGGCCAGCACTCATTGGCGGAGCAGGAGATGGCGGCACAGTTGATGGAGGTCCAGACAAGGCATCGCCACCACTACCTGCTCTTGAAGTACCATTAGTCAAAGGCGGAGGAGGTGGCGGCGCCGGTGCAGATGGAGCAGTTGCAGAAGAACGAGGAGGGGGAGGAGGAGCAGGAGGTGCTAAAGAATGAGGAAGTGGTGGTGGCGGTGGTGCAGAAGAAGTATGTCTAGCAGCACCAGGAGGAAGAGGTGGTGGAGGAGGAGCATATTGGTGCCTGGAGGTGGGAGGAGGAGGTGGTGGCGGAGGAGGAGGGGTAGATGAAGACACAGACGGTACAGGAGGAGGAGGAGGAGGCGGTGGCGGAGGAGGGGGTGGAGCAGGGAGTGCAGAAGAAGGTAAAGGTCGCGGAGGTGATGCCGTTGAAGGACTTGTAGCTTTCTCTGGACATGGAGGAGGTGGTGGTGGAGGTTTAGCTTTAACAGAATTCTTCTCCAAAGCCGAAGTTGATGGAGGAGGAGGTGGTGGTGGTGGAGGAGGAGGTTTAGCTTTAACAACATTCTCTTCCAAAGCAGAAGTTGATGGAGGTGGTGGTGGCGGCGGCGGTGGTGGTGGAGCAGAAGGGAGTAGTGAAGTCAAGAGAGCCTTGGGAGGAGCAGTATGGTGGTTTGCTGATGACTGTGCACACAGAAGGAGCTTCTCAGCTGCAGAAGAGATGGCAGGTTGTAGTTGAGTACTTGATGATGAATCAGAAGCACTTCTGGTCTCGGCGCTGCGAATGCCACTGCTGGTTGCTGGTTGAGGCATCTGACTGGAAACATTATGTTCAGCTTCAACCGATCGAGTAGGTGAAACTGAATTTGGTGAGTTCAAATTGTCCAAATTTTGCGCTAGCGAGTTCTTCAGCATCCTTTTCAGTGAGATCTCGGCATTCTCAGGTGAGGCATTGTCACGTAACAAATCTTTAATGGTGAGATCCAAAAGAGTCGTCGGTGGTGCCTCTTTATCAGTCTCAAGATTTTGCTGCTCATCCGGGGAACTTTTTGTATGTGGAGATAACTCTGGCGAGACGAGACCTTCAGCATTTTCCCATGAGAGTAGTGAGTTCCTCGTCAACCGTTCTCTCTTCCTTCTGTCATGATGCATTCCTGGACTGCTTTCCCGACTCTGAGGACTTTGTTCTGCACTGTGTCCCAAATCCATGTCATGCATTTGCTGGAGCATGTTAAATGCTACATCTGCATGTGGTGATGACCAGTCAACACTGCTGAATATCTCATGAACTTTGGCAAAAGCTTCAACTGGAAGGCCATCCTTCTCCTCAAGGCCAGAGAAATCCATAGAGATAACAGAAGCATGGGCATCAACCTCTGAGAAAATAATCTTCAAGCAAAGGAAATGGTCTAGGTTACCACAGAGCTCATTACAGAAGAACTATCATTTCCATAAAATGAAGTATGACTGAAAAACTATTGTACCTCAGCTCTGAAGTCCTTTGGAAATAGATCTTTAGCATCCCACAATATGTCAATTTCATCACGGTTGAGTATCAAGATGTTTGACCTGATGAAAGCCGTATTAAAAACTACTCGAAACATCATTTCTTCGCTCTCCATTTCGTCACGTATGCTGACACACTCCATCACAACATCACCTTGGATTGCGCAATGGATATCAATTTTAACTAGCTGACATTCTGCCTGCACTCAGACACAGTGATTTAACAAGTGATTTTTTATAGAAGGTGAAGGAACTGCTCTGTTGCTTAAAAATGTGAATTTTCACAAAGAATTTGGATACGATATATCTATCCATGAGTAACAGAATACTTTTCATATAATGCACGAAGAGCTCACTAGTTGTTTGGCTGGGTGTATCTGAAAGGGTGATATTAGTAATAACAACAATTGAACAAACATGTCATTTCTGGGTTAAAGTTGTTATATTGCAGCGTATTTCAAATCATGCCTATAATCTTAAATGCATCAAAATATGTCATCTCAAATGCTTGGATGTACGAAATATATTAGAAAATGCATCTAGAGAAGCGGGTCCCACGTATATTTTCTTCACAAACAATGGTTTCAAAAACGCACTGAACCAAACAATGGTTTCACAAACACATCTCACATAGTAGCATGCAAACTACATAGCATGCAATTTAGGTAAACAACATCCTGTTACAAATACATCGAACCTAATACAGTCACTGTAATCCACCTTCTAAGGAAATTCCCCGTTGCCAGGGAAAGTTGCAGTTTCATCAACGTGATTCACAACAGTATCGAGAGCTAAAAAGCTTTACCTGCTTATAAGCCCGGAAAGTGTTGTTCTTCTTAGGAGTGGAGTACAAGAACTTAGGAGTTCTATCTGAAGCAAGAAAGGGATCCTGTCCATATATACGGAACACAGGACGACAACCACCCTCTCTATCAAAATTTGGGATGAATCTCATGATGACACAGTCCAAGTTGAGAGCTCTATCCAATGGTGGCCACTCTGTAGCCACGTTTCTTCTTGAAACATACTGTAAATATCTCAGCTGAGAAGGAATAGGGTTTAGAGGACACAAGAACTGCAAAAGCTCACGGGGAGCTTGTCTATAGATCATGTCCAGTGTCTTCTGCTCTCCACTGTATTGCTTTCTATATATCAACAGTGCCGCCAGCATAAAGGCGAGAATCGGCCAACCACCTCTTTCACAGTGCATCAGCAGCAAATTTTGCTGTCCGAGCGAAAGCCAACTTTCCCCTGATCTCAAGAAATGGTGAACGACTTCCATTGTGAGCAAAGGGCAGCCTTCGTAGTGCCGAGGATACTCCATGATAGTCATGTCGTATTCAGACAACACATCAGCAATCTGACTTTGTGTCTCTCCTTCACGGAAATTGAATGCTAGGTATGATGCATCAGGGAAGTGGTCTTTAAGCTGGCCAACTATTCCACATATGTACCCTTTGTAGTCTTTGTCTTGCCATGAATCCATTGTAAAACAACAATCGAAGACTGTATTTGTTCATGAAACACATTACAGGTAACATATCATAACAATATTTCATAACCAAAGCACACCGATTTGCAGAGAACATCACTTCAGAGATATTATGATAACTCCTCAAAGACCAGCTCTTTAGACAGTTGATTCCAGTTAATTACTTCATTCATGTAAAGTATAGGAAATTCATGGCAAATTCATGCAAAGGAAGATGGCTACTGCACAAGCTAGACAGCCAATGGTCCCTCTCAATCTCCCTGGCAGCCAAACAAAAGAATCTAACTAGTTTTCCACCTCAAGCAACAAGGGAACACACAACATTTTACCCTACCAAACCAAGAGTATTCCAAAAAGGTTCAAGCTTTTTGCATCAGTACATCCTACTAAGCCAGCAGAAGGTTTAAAGAAAACGTATGAAATGAGGAAAAGAACAACGCACCGTAGACCCGCTCACAGATCTCAAGCAAGCCCTCAGGCGGCTTCCTGTAGAACAGTTTGCGAAACAATGCCATCTATCTCCCCCTTCTCCTCTCGTCCCTAAAGTCCTCCTCAAAAAGCTTCTCCTTTCCTCTTCTGCTTCTTCAATTCATCCCCAAACCAAAACCCAAAAACTCATTCCAGCAACAGAACCCTAGGCGGCAACTGAAAATTGCTATCCCGGCAAAGTGGTTGGTTGGTTTGTTGAATCAAAACCTTCGCTTTCACCTAAAGGGGGGTTTCGAGGGAAGATTAACGAAAAGGGGGTTTGTACTTTGCTGCCTTCTGTTCTCAAGTATTACCCAAGAAATGATTAGGTTAACAGACAGTGTGGGAAAGGAGCGGATTTTTTTGGTTGGGGAAATTGATCGAATGATTGGCGGGCAAAAGCTCTCACGGTCCCTTGTAAAGGCGATTGCTTTCCTTTCCTCTATCAGCTAAGCTGCCTTGATTGAAGGCTGGCTCCTAGGGCGCAGGAGGTCTGAAATCGCCTCCCGCGGCTGGATTGCGCCGACGTGGCGGCGTCGCCCTCCGCCAGGTGGAGCCAAGTTTTTGTCTTTTATATGTGGGTTTGACGTACGAGGAGTAAAAATGATTTGGACAGTCGGATTTGGATAGGCATTCGTGCTTTTGCCTTTCGCTTTTACCAAGAAGAATGGATTCGATTAGGGGTGGGCATCCGGTTCGGGTTTACTCTTCCGAACCGAACCGACCGAAACCGAAATTAACATTAATCGGTTCGGAATTCGGAAAGCAAAAAGTCATACTTCGGAAATCAGGGTTGCACGACCGAACCCGAATTCCGACCAACCGAACCGAGTTCCGAACTAAAATATTCAACCCACCTCCCACTATACAATATACATACTAACCAACCAAGCCCAATCCCTCACAGCCCAACTCATAGACCAATCTCTCACAGCCCGATTTCTCCTACAGCCCAGCTCACAAATTCCTAACCCTAATCACCTTCATCTCAACCTGCCTCCCCTTCAACGCACAGCTGTCGGCGCTCGACATCCCTCATCGCCACTCACCGATCGACCCCCTTTCCATTTCTAAGCCCTCCGCTCGATCTCGCCACCAAAAACCTACAAAACATAGAACGAAACACATCCATATAAAAACCACCATCAATAGTGAATCAATTGATGCAAGAACAAGCATAGGCTAAAACCCTTTAATAAATCCCTAATTGAAGAAGAAAATCCCTAGAAACAAACCCAAGTAAGGGAGGCGGAGAAGCATTGATCAGCGACGACATGCAGAAATCAGAATCCAGAATCCAGTAACGGAGCCGACAGAAAATAGAGAGAAGGGATTGAAGATGAGGTGAAGGGAGAGTGGAGCAGTAAGAAGGGGGGATAGGCGAAGGGTTGAGATCGAAGATGGAGGAGGTGGAAGTAAGATCCATCGAAATCACCTCGAAGAGATGAGCTCGACCCGATGGCAGCGGACGGAAGAAGAAGAGCCTTGTCGGAAAGAGGAGAGGAGAGCTCGACCTGGCGGCAGAGGGAGCTGAGCTCGACGTGACGGCGGCGGACGAAGAATAGCCTCGCCGGAAAGAGGAGAAGAGAGCTCGAACCCGACGACATAGGAAGAAGAGCTCGAATCCGGCGGCAGAGGAAGCTCTAATGTGGTCGCTGGAGAGGAGAGAAGGAAGTGGGGGAAGAGTACAAATTGGGATTTTTGTGGGAGGGAGAGAGAGTAGCAGAGGGAAGGATGAAAGAAGATGATGAATTTTGTTTGGGAGAGAGTTTGGTGGGAGGGAGAGAGATGAATCTTTGTTTGGAAAAGAGAGAGAGAGAGTAGCAGAGGGTGAAAGAAGGGGACGAATGATTGAAAGGGAAGTGGGGAAGATGATGTCTCTAGAAGTTCGGGTTGGTCGGGATCCCGAACCGAACCGAGATATATTTCGGTTCAGCCATACCGAACCGAAATATATTTCGGTTCGAGTTCGGTTTCATCTCTAGGCTGTTCGAAGGACCCGGTATGCTTATGTTCGGTTCGGTTTAGACCGAACCGATGCCCACCCCTAGATTCGATAAAGAAAGATGCTGAAATTAATAAACAATTACGAGTTCGGCTGTTTTGCTTTAAAAATAAGTTGCAAATTGAATTTGTATCCTAACTTTTCATATGAACATTAAACTTATCCTATAAATTTCGTAATATATGACGAGTTCTATCATATCCAGAGTAAATTACGGGGTATCGCATATCTTGAGTATAAAAACGTTATTTAGAATTGAATTGACTGATCTTTCAGACATGATACTATATTCTAACCCTTAAAGATCAAAATCTAGATATTAATTCTCTAATTCTTATACGCCATGATCAATTTAATTATAAACTATAAGTGACGGTTATAATTCGTCCAAATATAAACAAAAAATGAATGCACCATCTTAGAGTTTATAGTTTATGATTTAGATAAGGGTTAATACCTTGTTATGGCCTGAACTATGACCAAATAATCAACTTTGGCCAATGGTTTGAGAAATTAACATCCTGGCCCGATCTATGCAGCATGTTGACAAAATTGGCCTGGAGCCTGGTTTGACCGTTTGTTTGGACGGTCAACACCGTTGACCGTTAGTCAACTGTCCAGGTCACTGCCATGTCAACATAAAAAATCATTTTTTTTATTTCATTTACAAAAAACTGAATAATTAAAAAAAAAAAAATCCGAAAAATTTGGCCCACCCGTCCCCACCTTATCCCCTCACCTTCTTTCCTTTTCGATCAATCCCTATTCCATCTTCTTCCTCCTTCTTCCCCGACGAGACGCCGCCTCCAATCCCCCTCGCCTTCAAATGCAGCGGCGGCCGGTCGTTTAAAGACGACGCCGCCGCCGTCGCACTCTTGCAACATATCCCAAACACGACACCCATCCCCCTCGCCTTCTTTCGTTACTGATCCCTTCCCCAAAAAAACCCTAACGACCCTTCTTCTTCCTCCTTCTTCC